GTGATTATAATCACAATGGCTGGAAGTCCATGTTGTGGGGGACACTGGTACATTTTTTTCCATATATTATCAAATTTCACGGATCCTGTATTTAGACCCTATACCACCAGCAGTCCCAGCTGTATACAAGACACCACAGACTTTCTAAGAATTCTGAATTCTACTGACAATCTCCCTAACACCACCATTTCAGTCACCATGGATGCTGAGGCAGTATATGCTAACAACTCCTACCTTAAATAAAATGAACCCTGAGCTTCTTCATTATGCCTTTAATATAAATTTTCATTTTTTTATATTAGAAAATATAGAAATATTTAATTGTTTTATTTTGATTGTGAGCTCTTGCATATTATGTTGATGTAAAGTACATGCACTGGCTGTATAAGGCGTGTAAGAAGATATCAGTACTCTAACTGTATCATATACAACAAACTATGTTGTTTAGCATGCATCATTTATAAAGTGATTTTAGCAACTGAATATGTGTAATTTATTATGAAATAGTCTTTTAAATTCAGATTGTATGAACTGTTTTATTATCGAAACTATCAGACCTGCCCTAATCCAGTCCCTTAGGAAAGAAAGACCTTCAACTCCATTTGAGTGAAGTGATGGGTTCTTTTACTAAAGGATGCTGGCTACACTAAAGTCAAGCTAGCATTAAATTTCCCGTACAGAAACATTAAAAGGGGTGAATCCAGTGCTACTGTATACTGAATTGTTGTAGGCAACCTCATTGAAAGGAAAAAGGTGCACCCAGTGGTCCTGTTGATAATTAATGTAACACCTAAGTACTGCTCCATGATCCCATTCATACATTCACCCTCCATTCATTTCTGGATGATGAAAAGAGCTAAGCCCTTGAGTGGTCCCCAAAATCTTTAAGAACTCTTGCCAAACACACGAAGTGATGTAGATTCCATGATCTGAGATTATTCTCTCTGGAGCTCTCGTGCAGTCTATAGACAAGCTGTACCAACAACTTGGCTAAAGTACAAGCAAATTGAATTTTTTTGACAAGGCACAAAATGTACTTGTTTAGAAAATAAATCAGTTATCACCTAAATCACTGTATTTTCCGAACTCTCAGGTAGTTCCACTATGAAATCCATTGAAATCTCTTTCCATGGGTCTTGGCCATGGCCACTAGTTGGAAGAGCCCAGGTGTGTTCCCTTGTGGCCTTTTGGCAGAGGCACAGGTAGGGCAAGTAGTTACAGACCATTAGCCATTGTCTTTCAGGGATGTACAATTTGACTCTCACATAAGCTAAACAATCTTTATGGGTTTGGAATCATTTGTCCTCCTCCAGTGCTGCTCCAACTACCTAGGATTTTAGTTTAGCTTGCGCTCTGGTGGTGACTGGAACCAGGATGGGATAACCAGTCTAACTACCTCCGGCTTTGAACTGTTATTTGGTAGTAGTCTGGATAAGACGTTTGTCCCCTCTGGGAGATATCACAGTGTGAAATTGAACGGGTTAAACTATTAAGCCCAACAGACTTGTTTGGGTGACAATCTTGGGGGGAATGTTTTTAGGGCAAACAAAAGCGGTTTTCCTTTCTTCCAAGAAATGCTTCCAAGTTAAGAGTGCCCAGCGTACCGCATATGTTTCCTTTCCCAAACTGCCCACCTACATTTGGTTTCGATAAGCTTTTTGGAAGTATGGGCACATGGCTGCAGGACCCCCTGCTCATTTTACTGCAAGAGCACTGGCCCCATCATGACATCACAAGTATCCCTTCTCAGCTTTGCCAATGGTAGCTTAGGAGTAGGGACCTCAAAGTTCTTTTCCAGTTCCCTTTTGGGCCCATCTCACCGAATCTTTAATATCCTGCTTCTTCAGTTCTTATAGGGTTTCCACTTCAATAGCTATGCCAAACCTAGCACGAGGGATCTCTCCATGCTGGGTGCTACAATAAAGCTCCAAGTCTCTGTGTGTACCCCCATCCTTATCTCTATTGGCTTGATGAACATTGCTGGCCCCTGCTTGCTATTGAGCCATCCAGCTGGCAAAAAGCCACAGGCACTTTAAGTTGCTTGAGTTTTAAGCCTAGTTTTTCAACTAGGGCAAGACTGACTAGGCATCTGGTGCAACCTAAGTCCAGGGGGGCCACTAGGTTCCTCTTGCATCCTGAGGATGGAACCACCAGTTCTATGGAGATGGTCACTGGGATGACTGGGCAACTTACCAGGGGATCATTGTCAAACTCAGTGTCACTCTCCATCAGTGCTGCTCTTCATCAGACCATCAGTTGGAACAGTCGGAGTTCTCTCAGCATCTTTGAGGGACGGGGTGAACTCAGCGACTTCCTCTGCCTCCAGGTCTGTCTTTTGGATTCTCTGAGGAGGCTTCGCTAGCTTCTTAATGGGCCTCAAAGGTGTCTCCTGGGCTGGGCGCGTAGCTCGGCATTTGAAAGATCAATGCCCCTCCTTCCCGCACTTGAAATAGCCAGTGGAGCATCATTATGGGCTCTGTACACTGGTTGACAGCTTCTTTTCTAGGAGGGATGATGTCAGGAAAGGGCCAGATCAATTTTTACCTCCTCCACTAAGATGTACCAGCCATGGAGGGTGTGTGTGCCTGGAAATGCAGGTATGGTAAATTCCATTGTTCAGCCCATCTTGGAAACATCCAATTAGGCTGTTCTGCGGCTAATTAGTCAGCCAGGAGGCCAGGTCTCAAAAGTCTTGGGTGAATTCAGTTATGCTCCACCAGCCCTGGTGTATGGTCTTGATCCAGTCTCTAACCTTGTGGTCAGGTAGGTTATCTTCAAGATACATCCAGAGTGCTGCCATGAAACAATGTTTCGCAGCTCCGAGGCATCATTATGGAGAGTGACCATCCACTTCACAGTGATCCCCTCCAACACCATAGTGACACACCACACCTTGGTCCCCTCAGTCACTATATCCAGACCATATTTTTGCATGTAGGTCCAGACTTGCACCCGGAAGAACCCCAGTTGCGTGGGGTCTCCGTTGAACTTCACATCGAAGGTCAGTATCTTGTGACCTTGCTGGCGCAACTCCAGCTGGTGGTACAGGCTGGAGTGTTGGACCTGTGGGTAACTGCAGAGTTGAGGTGACTGCTGGTGCTGTGGGAATGGATGCCCCTGTGGTTGTGGGTACAGCTGCAGCATTCCCCACTGGGGCTGTGTCATTTGGGTAGCCGGCTGTGTTCCTTAAGTCAGGGACTCCCCTCAGGAACTCTATGGCTTGTTTCAGCATGCAGCCCTCTTGGTCCAGCTCCTCCATGGTCATTTTTTCCTCAAGCTCCAATCATGGCTCCCTTCGGCAACTGCCATGGCTCCCACAGATAGAAATCACCCCCTATTCTTCCCATTGTTCTTTCGTCTCACCCTAAGAGGCCACCAGGGCTTCAGCTGGTTGTTACAGGCTCCCGCCTCTCCCAGCCATTCAGAAGGATCTCCTGCAGGAGGTTTTGATGATGCTTCCCCCCAGACTTCCCTCTCCTCCTGGTCGCTCCCTTGAGCTGACATTGTATGTATGATCCCCATAGCAGAGGTGTTTCTCCAGGCTAACATGACTGCAGCTCTAGCCCAGTGGTGGGTTGCAGGCGGTACACCCCAGTACGGGTGTACCAGATCCTACCCGGAGCACCGGGTAATGTTCCCGTACAGTGCTCCGGAGGGCCTGCCCGCCCGAGCTCCTTACCTTTGGCGCTTCCGTGCACGCACAAACTGTTATTGTGCTTCCCTGGTCTTCGTCAGTTATTGTTCCTCGTCCCATTTTCACATCACATCCCCATACCTATTCCCCTTTTGTTCTCCCCATGCCCCTTCTGCCCTAGCCTTTGATGGCAGGATGCCAGCAAGGCACCAAGTTGAAGATTTAGTGACTTCTCCTTCAAAGTGGCTGGGAGATATAATGACTACACAAAATAGAAATATTTCAAATGTATTGACATTAAATCTCACTCTAAACATTTGAGAAACATAACTTTGTCTTTTTTGGTGAAGGTAACATTTTTAATATCAGAACTTATGTTTAAATTTTAACATTACTAAGAAATATAGTTTTAAACAAAGTTAAAATGGCTTATTAATCACAAAGCAGCTTTTTTATAAAGATATTTTTTTAAATATTTGATCAGCTTTAGTTTTTTTATCTTGAAATAATATTAAACTTATTTTTGCAACATTTTCAGTTCTACAAAACAATCACTTGTGTCAACATTTTTCTGAATTCAATACCATATATACATATCCAATGTTGCAGCTATATTTTAGTGTCCCTTATCAGATGCAAACATTTTCACTGTAAAATCCCAATGTTTATTTATGTATTCAGTGTACCATTGCACCCTATACTGTCCTCTGGCAGTTAACTTCAATAAAAGCAGCATATAAATCCCATACAATAATATGATAATGCCAGACAGGGTCAATTCTTTGTCTTACAAATGCTTTTTGGGTATACTCAAGTTTCACCTCACTTTTACTAATTTGATTTCAATGAAATGTTTTTTTTAAATAAAATAGAAACTAGCTGAAAACCAGTTCCAATAACCCTCTGTTTTTCAATTGTCTCAGAAGTACACCAGCAACACGTCTTGTTGGAGAGCATGTACAAGATAGGTTAATTCTATATAAAGAAAGCAAAACACCTATGAGCCAAGCTTATATGTTAATCCCAGGAGTTTGAGTTACTCTGGAAAAGTAGTGATAACCAACAAAGCATGTGGAACATAGGAGTCATATTTCTACATCAACTTTCACTTACGAATTGTAATATTTTGTACCAATTATAATTTCTGAGTGGTCTTCAAAGGAAGCCCGATGAAGCATGCAGTGCAGTATTGCAGTAATTAGGTAATAAGGTAAACCATTTTTGTCAAAATTTTCTGTGCCAAATAGAGCTGCAACTTGCCACAGCCTCTACCTGGCAACCAGCAATGGTTATGTGTCCAGGAGAAACTCCCAAGTTAATGGACCTGTTCCTTCAGGGAACATGTAATTCCAGTCAGAGTTACAACCAGAGCCACAGGGAAGCAGCTCCATCTTGCTATTTTGTCCCATCCAGCCACCAACATTTTCCAAACATGACATCAACACCAGTTTGGGCTTTAGGCCAAAAAAGCTAATGATTCTAACAGCATGACCACCACCCAATTTGCATGGAATAAAAAAGGAAGTGAAGCACATTGAGACTTGCAAGATTTTGTTACTATAGCTATTGTAATAAAAGTAACTCGGGATCAATACAGTATCTATTTCTTAGTCTTTTATAGCTAACACCAGAGAATTCCAGACCCTTATATTAGACTGAGAAATCCAAACTATCTTGGAAAAGGTAATAGCCAAGCATATTTATACTGTTGCCAAGAAAATTGCATTTATTTATTCTTGTAGTCATTAGGAGTTCAGCTCAACTTGAATAAGCTTTTACCTTTTATATTTTTAGTGAAAAAATTCCATTTCTAAAAAGACAATGTTTTATAAAGATAAGCTAGGTCTAATGAAAAGGTTAAATAAAAAGGAAATACATTGCTCCTATATTTTTATTTTTTGAAATATTTGCAAATATTCCATAAAATAATTTCTAAATATACCTTTGAACCTACTTAAATATAGATTTAAATCAAATTACATCTATTCTAAACAAGCTGTTGGTACAAGAAAGTCTTGAAACAATACTGTGAGTGATACCTTTGAGAGTTCTTATGTTCAAATACATGTTCTAAGTATTCAAGAAAATTAATTTTATAATAGCCCTCAAACACCTAAGAGAGAGAGAAAGAGAGAATGAGAATTACAGAGTTGGAAGGACCTTGGAGATTTATTCAGTTGCTCAGGCCTGCAAAGAGCTTGCAAAGGGATCTATCTCACTATTAGAGAGCATCAGTCTGGAGAAGGGTACCAAATTTTTTCCAAGGCATTGGACCTACTATGGAACTCAGTGAAGGCAGTCACCAACAAATGGAGGAAATGTGGCACAAGAGTGGCATTATCAAGAACTGGAGGTCTCTCCAAAATTAATGAAAAGAAAAGAACTGGTCCAAAAGGCTGCCAAGAGGTCTACAGAAAATTAAAAGTAGTGTAGGAAGTTTTGACAAGTACTGATTGTGTACTACATTGACAATGATCTCCTGTATTCATATGTCTGGGCTATGGGATAGGTAGGCAAGATAGAAGTCTTTTCTTACAAACGATAACATCCAAGCCTGGCTATATTCTGCAAAAACCTACATCAAGTCTGACAAAAGTATGTGGTAAAATGTGTTATGATCTGATGAGGCTAAAGTTTAGCTTTTTAGCCATAATTCCAAAAAGTATGTTTGTCACAAAACAACACTGCGCATCATCAAAAGTACACCATAGCCAAGTTAAGTATGGTGGTGCAGCATATACTTTGGGGCTTCTTTTCTTCAGCTGGAACTGTGGCTTTAGACAAGGTGGAGGGGATTAAGGAGAGTTCTAATATCAATCAATTTTGGCACAAAACCTTCAGGCCTCTGCTCAAATGCTGAAAATGAAGAGGAATTTCACCTTTCAATATGACAATTATCCAAAAGCATACCTCCAAATCTACAAAAAAAAGCTTCATCAGAAGAAGATCAAAGTTTGGGAATGGCCCAGCCAGAGCCCAGACCTGAATCCAACTGAAAATCTGTAAGGTTTTGGCTCGTCAGGGCTCCACTCCATTGTGCCCACCACCGGTCAACTGAACTGAGCTGCCACTGCCACCAGGGAACACTGGAGCCTTCGTTGCCAAGCAGCTGATCAGTGGTTGGATCAGCCCCCTGGAATACCGATGATCAGCTGTTCTAGGCAGCAGGGATGGCCACTGCTGCTGCTTGCCGCCATTAGGCAGTAATTGACAGCGGAGATCGGCAGTGATCCCCGCCACCTAGAACAGCTGACCGGCAATATTTTGGGAGGCCAATCCAACCACCAATTTGCTGCTTGGCAGCAAAGGCTCCAGCATTCCCCGGTAGTCACGAGTGGCAGCAGCGATGGCAGGCAGTGGCAGCAAACGCCACCGCTGCACCAACCCCTCTTCCGCCCGCAATATTCACTCTATAAGATGTACAGACATTTCCCCCCCACACTTTTGGGGGGGAGTGCAACTTATAATGCAAAAAAATATAGTATATGATAATACAGTGGTGAGAGCACTGCTCTTTTGATGTAGGGGATTGGGTGTTGAATCCCAGTTGGTACCTATGTTACCTGTAAGTAAAGGTCTTTTGAGAAAAGATTACCTAATGCTTTATTCAGATATGAGAGTAACATGAACTAAAAGAGCCATGCTGGTTCAGACATCATTTGGATTAAAACAAGATCTGTGCCAGAAGTTGGAGAAGCAGGACAATCTAACAATAAGTGACTACTGGAACGAACCAAACAAGATAGGACAAGAAAACCAGAAATTGATAGAATGCTACTACAACAGCAGAGCTAATGAGAGGTGAAACGTATGAAGAAGCTATGGATAAACAGAAGACCTGCAACCACATAGTGAAGAGGAAGCTGCTATTACACTTGAAATAGATCAACTACACATTACATATTGGACTCAAGAAGAATGGAAGAAAAATTGGATGTTTAGTCAACTTCTGAAGCTGGAATATCACTGCCACAACCTGCATTACAGAACACAGTAACTGCTATGAGACATAAAATCATAAATAAACTAGCTACACTCTTGAGACCAATTACCAACATTTAGTGGAGAAACACCATCAAGCTAGAAGCTACTAATAGTGCCCTCACAACAATCCCTACTACAACTCAAACCAAGGAACTGGTGGTATACACTACAGCCACTATAATTCTGGAGATGTTTGCTTACATGATCAAAAGGAACAGCAGTGCATACCCCAAATGGAAATGAGTTGGAAACTAAGATCAAAGTTATTCAGAGAGAAGTTACTCAGCTGGTAGAATTTCTCAGAACAGGAACCAGTCATTGTCAACATCGTAATAGCAGACATCTAACAGTGGATCAAGAACATAAAGAGCTGGATAGTGCCTGGCCCGGACATGGTCCATGCGTATTGGCTAAGAAATTCATAACTGTACAAAAAAGCCCAGCAGCACAGATGAACCAGCAGCTAGCAGTATGCTCCCACCCAGACTGGCTAACACAAGGACGGACAGTGCTGAACATGAAAGGTAAGGGGACAGCATCAGCCGACTACCAGCCAATAACTTTCCTTCCAAAACATGAAAAGTTCTATCAGGAATCATAGCCACCAATCTAAAGGAGGACATAGGCCATATGAGTACAGC